CCACACACACACACACACAGACACACGCACACATGTGCAAAGACTATACATTCGTTTCGGACTATTTGAACGGAAACTAAAAATATTTTCATTAGTTTGGTCAAATGAAACAAATTTTTATGCTATTTCTGATTTGGCCACCAGCGCATTCTGTGCATGCGCGCCGCCATCCTGGAGGCGGGCGCATGACATCACATAACGCACACATCTGTTAGGGGGGCAATTTTATGTTCTTGCCTTGTGCGCAAAAGGAGCTAGCTACGGCTCTGTTTATCTAGATGTAATGTGATTGCTAAATCCTCCCCATCCTATGAACTCAGTCTAAAATCTGCAATGTGTCAAAGCAGCGAGAAGCCCTGGAAACAGAACTCTGCACAGCGTTTAGCAGCACTCAGCATCTAGAAGCGTACAGGGAATTCCTCGCTGCGAGCCGGGCTTCCTGTGACTCATATCAGCCACAGCTCCGCGGTTTCCTCTGGTTAGTCACCAACTTCGTAATAAGTTTATAACTACATCTGGATTTTATTCAAGTCAGAGGAGGAAGAACAACAACATCTCTACAGTATCTAACAACAGAGATATCTACATTCTATCTATCTATCTATCTATCTATCTATCTATCTATCTATCTATCTATCTATCTATCTATCTATCCATCCATTCACCCATCTATCTACCTACCTACCTACCTATCAACCTAACCATGCATCCACCCTCCTATCTATCTATCTATCTATCTATCTATCTATCTATCTATCCATCCATCCATTCACCCTCCTATCCATCTATCTATCTATCTATCTATCTATCTATCTATCTATCTATCTATCTATCTATCTATCTATCTATCTATCTCTCCATCTATCTATCTATCTATCTATCTATCTATCTATCTATCCATCCATCCACTCACCCATCTATCTACCTACCTACCTATCAACCTACCCATCCATCCACCCTCCTATCCATCTATCCATCTATCTATCTATCTATCTATCTATCTATCTATCTATCTATCTATCTATCTATCTATCCACCCACCCATCTATCTACCTACCCATCTATCCTACCTACCCATCCATCCATCCGTAAACCCACCCACCCTCCTACCCATCTATCTATCTATCTATCTATCTATCTATCTATCTATCTATCTATCTATCTATCTATCTATCTATCTATCTATCTATCTATCTGACCTCTAAACCCAGTACACACAGTTACATTGCGTCACTGGATTTGGGATCTGTACACATACATGGGTATGCTAGGCAGACTAAAGCAAAGGGCACCTATAAGAACACACACTTCCTGTCACACATTTAAAACATGTTTCACAACTCTATGGGGTCTAATTATAAACAATTCACAGAGCCATTCACCCTGCGTATCTCCATGAACGTTTGTTCCGTGTGAATAAAGGCAAAAACAAACATTCTTGGTATATTTTCTTTTCAGGTCGAATGTAATATAATACTGCGTTTTGGCCACTAGATGGAGCTGAAGAGCATAGGAAATAAATACCCCTCAGCTCCATCTAGTGGCCAAAAGTTCCCGTTCACACCTAGGCGTTCCGTAAACGTGCGCCAAACATGTCTCATGCACATGTTATAATTCAACAGCTGAACAAGGTAACATTATCATTGCTTGCTGGGAGCAATGCCTGATGGGATATGTAGTCTTGAGAAATGGAGATTGCATCACATTAGGCAGCAGGGAAAGAGACACAAAGCACACTGGGAACCCAGGAAGTTGTTGGAAGTGATGGGCAGACGGAAGGCGGCGCTCAGTATATAAATGGGGCTTCACAACGTAAGCTTTGATTACATTATCAGAAACAACTCTAGTATGTATTCCAATTACAATGCCGATGTTATAACAGGGGGGGGGGGGGCTAGCTGTGGTGACGCTACAAATCCCATTATGTCTCTACCTCTGGCAGTCCTCCCTGTAGCTGTGAGGATCATGCAGTGCCTTACGGGACTTCCACAACAGCTGGAGGGCCGGAGTGTGGCTACCCCTGGTATAGCAGGATAGTATACACTGTGACTTCAGAACTTTGTGAATTGAGCCCGGAGACTTGAAGTATTTATTATCTCTTCTACATGAAGCATGTTGGAGTGTTCTCTTCCAGAACCTCTTAAGCTGGCCAGCCTGGCATGGGACCCTCTACGGTACTCCTGGGACAGTCTAGTCTGGTGGCACTTGACATATGGTATGTGTGTGTCAGACCACGGTGATGGCACATGGGCTCTGACAGCGAGAGTGAATCCTGCAGCTGCCGGCGGCTGGTGAAGAGGACCTGTAGCATTGCTCCTCTCGATCACAGCTCGGTGAAGTACCCAGCCAGATGGTGATTGATGGAGGCCATGCAGCAGCTGAGATAACCCATTACCTGGCTAAGTCACACAAGCATGCCTGGACAGATCCCAATTCCCACACTGCCTGGATTATAATTCACCAATTGCTTTGCTGGCTTTGCAGTTAGCTGTGCCCAAGAGCAGCTCCAGGGACATAACCGCCCCATCTCCCCCTTCTAGAGGTGACTACAAACCTGCGAGAAAGTCAGAGCTTAAAACTAAGGGGGGGGGGGGGGGGTGACTAAAAGACAACATA